ACCCAAATCAAGCTCCTCTTAAATGAGAATAAAATCGTCATTGATGGTTGCATAACGGTTGGTTATAAATGCGGATATTCTCCGTAATAGATGCTCATTGAATGATATCCGATGTAAATATTTTGAACCTTTGCTATCGGCTACTCTGTCTTCGGGATTCATTCAGCACCAGTCACATGTTTGCATTCGATGTCAGTTGTTCGCTGACTCACGTCCCATCTTTCTTCAGTTCCACATGTCACTTCGCCATTCGTCTAACTGTCTTTAACCAATTTTATCATATACAGATAGCCCCCTATTTTTCTGTGATGCAACTTAGTGTTACCGGGTAATAGATAAGAGTTTTTTTCTTGATGGGAAACTTCTTGAACATTCTCTGACACTTGAAAGGACGCACGACTTCTCGCATTTAATGACCCAAACACGTATTGTTCCATGATTCAGCAAATATTTTCACCAATTTTCGAGGTAATCATTACCACAATTTTTGTCGTCTATAACTTCTCCAGTACTACTCATTTTTACTCTTTACCTTTTACAACTTCCTCTTCTTCTCTGATTTATCTTCGAACCCTACTGCAAACTTTAACTTTCTCAGTAAAAAAATTCTGCACAAATTTCTCACCATCATGTCTTCTGACATTGTTGCCTTTGAAAATTCTGGCCTTCTCTTCGGTGGAGGTCTAATGAAGAACAGAACCAAAGAGGTTGATGTCGAGTCTAAACCTCCAACCATAAACACCATCATACCTCTTCACCTTAGCACGAAATCCAACCTTCAAGAACAAAAAGAACATGCAAATCCCAAAAGTGATAGACACTAGCCTGTTAACAAGTATCCTCTTCCATTCGTCCTCCTAGCATCCCTGTCGTGAAGAAGGATTGTAATTGGAAAAATATTAAAATCCTCACCCCTAGCAAGGTAGAAAAGGTCACCTTCTCTGGTGGCTTGCCTCTGCCAATTGTGCTCTATGATCGGGGAAACTCTAACTCTTGTACATATGATGAATCTCTACTTCGTAAAGATCTTTTATGGGGGTGTACTAAAACTTAGCAAACACAATCATCATACCTTTCTTACCAGCGTCGATAATGACAACGATCGCGGATGAATGGAATGGTGCGTTATCATTGCTACCAGGGACATCCTCCCGGCCACATCACCTGTTGTTCCCGAATCATGGAATAATTTCTGTAAGTCTACGGATATTTTTTTGTTTTCATATTCAGAAAGACTTTCCTTCGCTACTAACTTCAAAGTTTCCTTACCCCAACTACTCACTGGAAGCAACCACGGGTTTAATATTTGGCCCAATGGGTATAGAAATTCTGGATATTACTATACTAGAATCCCGAAGGTGGAAAGAAATGGCCCCCAAATATAGTGAAAATTAAAATTATGGTAAACACAAATTCTTCTTCCCTTCTTTCAATCTTTCAACATATCTTGGAAGCAATTTAACTGTCATCTTGTACCATACAGTAATTCCGAAGGGATCCGTTGTCTCCGACATCAAGGCTCTTGACGACCTGATGGAACCTCAATGGGTACTGTAGAATGCCCTTAACCGGAGGAGAGATCACAAATTTAAGCCCTTCCGATAAAGGTACCTTCTCCCAGAGTCCCCAGCCCAAAAACAAGAAATCGAAGAGGAAGCATACCTTCTCGGCTAGGACTCAAGAGAAGAGAATGAAAGAAACACCAACCGGACCGGCTATACGGTTCCTTGATAAAGAAGAAACCGATGATGAAGTGGTTCCTTTACAGAAAAAAAAGATTTTCATCTGCTCAACTGGATGCTCAGCCGAGAGAACTTTAAACTCCACCACCAAAAGAAGTTCAAGAACTCTGGGGAGGGGGAATGGAAATAGCCGAAAACTCTTCATCTCGTTTTCGAATTCCCCCAGTTGCTTCTGTTCAAAGGAGTTCAATCCCTGACCTTCCTCCTCCGCTAACTTCTTAGCTGATAAAAACTACCTCTCTATCTATACCACCTGCTTCTTCTCCACCGACCCCTGCTGAACAAAAGGGAAATGCCTCTTCTCCACGATCGCCCAACCATGAAAATTTTGGAAATACTTACTCGGCACCCACTCAAGATAGAAAGTGAAGTGTCATCCTCATGGTTTAGAATGAGTGTCATATACTTTACAAGCCGGTGGAGCTTGCTAATAATTTGAAGTTGTTGGCCTCAAAAAAGATTGGACAAAGATGGACTATCTTTCTGTGGAGTGTTTGATAAACAATAACATGCATTATTCCACGCAGGTATCAATCTAATTTTCTTTCATCTCTTTTTAACTTATACTTTGCATTAATATCATTAGTTCTAACCTTTTTCAGGCTAACCTTCTTGCTTCTGAGGGCCTGCAAAGGTTGATTTTGGACAAGCAATTACATCAGAATGAAATTAACTTTTGGCTACACAGATCATATTGTCGAGCGCCTCTAAGTGATGGAGGCAAAATTGTTCAAATGGATGATCTTGAGGCCTGATTGCAGAAGTTTGAGCAAGATAGAATGGTCCACATCCAAAAAGCCGCTCAATTGCATGAATACCTCAAAGATGCAAAGGCTAAGTGGGTTGAACTTCATGATACCGTAACTGTTGCTGCCGAGCCTGAGTCTGACTTCGTGGAACAAGTTAATAATTTGGAGCTTACATTATGCTCTAAAATTGAGGAGGACAATTCGGCCCAGGAGAGAAGAGAAATGATGGAGGAAAGAATCAAAAGAGTCATGGAGCAGAATCAACTTCAGTCGACCACCTATGTTGAGCTTGATTTCAGAATCAGCATTATGAAAGCTGAAAATGAAAAGCTCTAAGCGAAGAATGAAAAAATACGAGCTAAACTCGAAGATAGGGAAGATTCTTTCCTCTTAGATAAGACTTATGCCATATACCATACAAAGAGGAAGAATTTGGAAGAGGCCAAAAAAGGCATTGCAAACATCGATGAATGCAATAGCAAGGCCCGGGAGCTAGAGACAACTGCCCCTGATAACCTCCCTGATCGGCACGTTGCTTCTGAATCTTCGAATACTAACTCCGAGTATTCAGGAACCGAAGGAGAAACTGCAGAAGATGAGGGCCTCGAACCGTAAGCGGAACAGCCTTCTCCCGATAAAGAAAATAAAAACTCTTCTTTCCCTTCGGTTCTGGCAGCAAGAACTAATGTATATATTTTTTTCTATACTTTGTGTAACTATGACAAAACTTCTTTATTGAGTTTATTATTTTAATTATTAAAATAAACTCTTTGCTTAAGTGTTGTGCAAAAAATATTCTTTTTCATTTAACTAGCAAAGCTTCAGGAATATTCTCACATCCGATAACTTTTGAGTCCGGACATAAGCACTTTCGAATCTATCCTTTACTCTGAGAGTTTACTAATAGAGGACCCTTATGGTTACACTGCTCTTGAAGAGGATGTATCATGTTCATTCTGGCACAAGCATTTGAAGTTTTTTTTAACTTTCAAATGATAAATTAAATTCACTCATCATTCGGACAAGAAATAAGATACAAATAAAAGGACTTTGATTTATTCTCTCTATAAATATTCTTCAAAATATTCACATAAATATTCTTTTGCTTAAGTAAATAAAGTTGTCAATAGATGTGGCTAACTTGTATAACTTATTTCAACGGGTTTGAACATGCAGTCCCCGATCTTGATAAGACATTGTTCTCGGTTCTAACAGTCTCCAGTCTTCGTAATACTTTTAGTGACTTTTCATTATTATCCCCCCTGGTGTTCGAATACTAAGTATGAGAATTTGAACATTGGAAGTCTTGTATTCACCGATGACCCTTCTTTCGTAGTATGATTTACATTGCTGCCTCATTAAAATGAGAGTTTTATGATATGATTGTCACACCTCTTTTTTCTCTTACTACACCCCGGGAAGCGATATAATAAAGGAGTTTTTCCAATTAAAGGACAATCGAACGGGATTCGTTTATTAAGAAGTTCAGAGTCGCCACTTGGGAGATTTAAGGTGTCCCAAGTCACCGGTTTGAATCCCGCATCGAGGAAAGGGTTTGACTCTGTTTAACAGTCGCGAACCAGAAATCCGGGTAAGGAATTCTGTTAACCCGGGAGAAGGGGTTCGGCACTCCCGAGTTCCGTGGTTCTAGCACGGTCGCTCAACTGTCATATTCGACTTAATTATCTGATTTTAATACATTTAAACCTATGTGCAATTTTAGATTATTTACCGCTTTTAATTAATTTTAAAAGAATGTTGAACGTCGTTTAAAACATATCTTTGGACCGCGTCACATGAAATGCACCCGCAATCCTAAACCTATTTTATTCAACGTTTTGGGATTTGGATTTGGGTCACATGAACTGCACACCCGAGTTTAAGAAGGTAAAATTATTAAAACACGCGCCTAAAGCAACTAACGCGTTATTAACTTTGCAGGAGGCCATGGAAATTTACTAAATGGCACGTCCCGAGTTCTAAGTATTTTTAAAGAAATGATTAATGAGGGCTACGTAATTTGTCATTTTATTTGGCGCGGCGCACCTCAATTTATTTCAAAGATGGGACTCAACTCCTATCTAATCCAATTTTTGATCTTCAAAGACCAACAAACATCTCCACTGCCTTGACTAACAGGCCATGGTCCAGAAATGTGGTAAAACTACTTATTCAATCAAATTAAACCAAGTGACCATACAACCCACGTAAATTAGCAAATAGTGGTCCAACTATTATTTTGACTCAAATCTTATCATTCCATCCTTGAAGAAGAACCAAGTCTAAAACGTGAGAACCAAGAGGGTAAAAGAAAACTAAAATGCATCAGGACTTAACGATGAGCATTCATATCATTTTTAAAAAAAATCCAAGCCTGCTATTATGGATTAAACTCTACGGATGCTACATTTTAATGTCACTAATGCATCAACAACACGAAGCATATTAATAACACCATTTGATTTCAACCCAAACAGATTATAGAAATTTAACCATCCAAGCAAAATGATAAAGAAGAAAATAACGGACCTTTGAAGCCTTTCAATATAGTAACGATCTTCCAACGGGTTACAAGAAGAATACAGCACTATGCGCTGAACACGAATAGACCCTCGGCAAGCAATGGACTGACCGAGTTTCGCCGGAAGAACTCCAATCTGACAGTGGCTCAGACGGAGCCTCGAATCGGCGACAAAATTCGACAACGGACCTCGGACTGGCCTCAAACGACACCACTGAGCCACGACACAACAACGGAGCTTTCAAACAAAATCCGTGAGTGAAAATCTAAAGTAGAAACTTATTTAATTCTACTCACTGTAACAGAAACTTTTTCTCTTTCAAATCTATTTTGGAACTTTCAAATTGCAGAACTTGTCCTCTACTATCTCGTGTGTGCTTTTTGATAATCTCCGGCGATGAATTGAGTGTGTATTCCGACGACAGTGAGGAGGGAATGAGCGTGTGTGTATAGGCAGTGAAGGAGTGAATTTTTTTTTTTTATTTGTTTTGACGAGGGAGCTCGTCTGGTTGAGTGATGTCCGACGAAGTGAAGGTCGTTTGGACAGAGACAATGCCGGAAGTTCAAGGGTCGTTTGGGTGAGCAGCGGCGCAGGTTACAGGGGTCGGCGTTTGGTGGTGTCTATGTCTTCGATGGAGGAACTGTTTTGGGTGTTGAAGAAAATCAATTTCAGGCTGGGGAGGGAGGGTATGAAGGAGATGATCCGAGGGGGTGGGGGTGGTCCTGTCAAAAGCTGCGCAGCTGAAGCCTCCTCTTGGGCGTTCTTTTTCTTGTTCCCCCTTTCAGATTTTTTTAAGTATTATTTTATAGGTAGAGTCTAGGTTTAGGTGTATTTTGTGTATTTTGCCCATTAGTCCCTAGGTTTTTTCTGTTAAGTCCTTAGGATTTTTTTTATTTATTTTTTTTTCCAAAGAAGAGTCTAGAAGGGTCCCTAGACTACACAATGACCTCTTCTTTTTTTTTTTTTATATTCAAAATAAGATAGAAACACTACACAATGCCAAAGCTAATCCTAATTAATTAAACTAGACATGAAACTATTTTTGTGTTTTCGAAATTATATAAAGATAAAAATAAGGTACTATTTTTGTGTTTTTTCTTTATTTATGAAAAATGTATAAACTAAAAATATTTTTTATAATTTTCATTTTTCTTGTAATAAAATAAAGTAAAAAGTCAAAATGAGTTGAAATAGCTATATTAGGCCTAAATTGAATATTTACGTGCTAAAATATAAAAAAGCTTGGGGAGGGTCAAAAATCACATGTCTACAATGATATATGCTATCGAGCCAAAGATTATTTAGCCATCCACAAGCTTCTTGCCACACGAGCTGATCTACAGAACTACTTATACTCATGTTAAAGTGAGGGCAATATGGCTTATGGTTGTTGATACACCAGTGAAGGCAAATGATTATCTACATATTGCATCTCATACAGAGCATCTTTGTCGATGATCCTTCCTTCGTAGTATGCTTTACGTTGTTGCCTCATTAAAAACCTTGCCAAAAAAATTCAATTAGGACAAAAATTGGATGAAGGAAAAAAGAGTGCAGCGCATACTTTCAGTACCAGCAAGGATCTTTGGCAATAATACCTTTTGAGGTGAGTCACATTCCAATTTCTTGGCAATTTAACTCCATCTTGATTTTTCAATTCATACTAACCTTTGTTGGTTATAACTGAAACCTGGTAAGGTCCTTCCCATGTTAGTCCTAGCTTCCCGACATTAAGTTCCCGAGTATTTTGAGGTACATTTCTCAGAACCAAATCCCCAACTTTGAAATATCAGAGACTTGCTCTATGGTTGTAACATATTTCCATCCTTTGCTTTTGTGCCAACATCCTCACATATGCTAGATTTCGGTACTCTTCAAGCAAATCTAGTCTAACCAGCAACACTTCATTATTTGTTTCTTCTTTTTCTTAGGAAAACCTTAAGGTCGGTTCCACCACTTCCATCGCTATCAAAGCCTCTGAACTGTATACAAGTGAAAAGGGTGTTTCACCCGTGCTCAACTTCACTGTGGTTCGATATGCCCACAACACACGCGATAGCTCATCTGGCCACTTGCCTTTAACATCTTCTAACTTCTTCTTACGGTTTTGAATAATTAACTTATTGGTTGACTCTACCTATCCAATAGCACTCGGGTGGTATGGTGAAGAAGTAATTTGTTTGATCTTCAATCCTTCCAAAAACTTTGTGTCTTTGGAACCTATGAACTATGGCTTGTTGTCACAGGCAATTTCTTTTGGTATTCCAAATTGGTAGATGATGTGGTCCCATATAAAATCGATCACTTTGTTCTTTGATCTTTTGGTAAGCACCTGCTTTAACCCATTTAGTAAAATAATCAGTTAAGATCAAAAGAAATTTAACCTTATTGGGTCCTTAAGGTAAGGGACTGACTATGTCCATCCCTCATTTCATAATTGCCATGGTGACACTACCAAATGCAAAAGTTCCGCCGGTTGATGAACTAACTGTGCATGGTATTGGCATTTATCGCACTTATGTAAAAATGTCTTTGTGTCTTGCTCCATCCGAAGCCAATAGTAGCCAGCTTTGACTAACTTGAGAACTAACGAGTCTGCACCGAAATGGTTCCCGCAGACTCTTTTGCGAACTTCCCTCATCACCTAGTCATCCTCTGATGTCCCTAAACACCGATCCAATGGTCATTGGAATGACAACCAATATAATTTTTTGTCAAAACGACAATAACGATCCGTCTTGGTCCGTAGTGCCGGGGATAATTCCAGGTCTTCAGGAAATTTTCCATGCCTTAGATATTCAATGAACTCGTTCCTCCAATCCCATATTAGATTGGTTGAATTTACTTCACAGTAGTCGTCCACATCCAACACTAAATGCAACAACTGAACTACCGTACAGGAATCAGATCCATTCATTTATGTGGATGACCCTAAATTGGCTAATGTGTCTGCCTCCACATTTTCCTCCTTGGAATGTAGACGATTGACCACTCTTTGAACCGGGAAAGTAATACTTGAATTGCATTCGCTCCTTCTTGGTGTCAAAAATTTCATATACTTGGTTCACCACCAGCTAGGAGTCGCACTTTATTTCGATAACCTCAGAACTGAGTCCCCGAGCTAGTTCAAGTCCTACATCCAAAGCCTCGTACTCGGCTTCATTGTTAGTTAATGGTACAATTCTAATGGCCTGCCTCAGGGTTTCCCCCGAAGGAGTGATTAAAACTACCCCAATACCGGACCCTTTAACGTTGAAAGATCCATCCGTAAACAAGGCCCAAACTCCCGATACCATTTTCAATACCAAAAACACGAAGCATATTAATAACCCCATTTGATTTCAACCCAAACAGATTATAGAAATTTAACCATCCAAGCAAAACGATAAAGAAGAAAATAACGGACCTTTGAAGCCTTTCAATATAGTAACGATCTTCCAACGGGTTACAAGAAGAATACAGCACTATGCGCTGAACACGAATAGACCCTCGGCAAGCAATGGACTGACCGAGTTTCTCCGGAAGAACTCCAATCTAACAGTGGCTCAGACGGAGCCTCGAATCGGCGACAAAATTCGACAACGGACCTCGGACTGGCCTCAAACGACACCACTGAGCCACAACACAACAACGGAGCTTTCAAACAAAATCCATGAATGAAAATCTAAAGTAGAAACTTATTTAATTCTACTCACTGTAACAGAAACTTTTTCTCTTTCAAATGTATTTTGGAACTTTCAAATTGCAGAACTTGTCCTCTACTATCTCGTGTGTGCTTTTTGATAATCTCCGGCGATGAATTGAGTGTGTATTCCGACGACAGTGAGGAGGAAATGAGCGTGTGTGTATAGGCAGTGAAGGAGTGAATTTTTTTTTATTTGTTTTTGACGAGGGAGCTCNAGCTTTGACTAACTTGAGAACTAACGAGTCTGCACCGAAATGGTTCCCGCAGACTCTTTTGCGAACTTCCCTCATCACCTAGTCATCCTCTGATGTCCCTAAACACCGATCCAATGGTCATTGGAATGACAACCAATATAATTTTTTGTCAAAACGACAGTAACGATCCGTCTTGGTCCGTAGTGCCGGGGATAATTCCAGGTCTTCAGGAAATTTTCCATGCCTTAGATATTCAATGAACTCGTTCCTCCAATCCCATATTAGATTGGTTGAATTTACTTCACAGTAGTCGTCCACATCCAACACCAAATGCAACAACTGAACTACCGTACAGGAATCAGATCCATTCATTTATGTGGATGACCCTAAATTGGCTAATGTGTCTGCCTCCACATTTTCCTCCTTGGAATGTAGACGATTGACCACTCTTTGAACCGGGAAAGTAATACTTGAATTGCATTCGCTCCTTCTTGGTGTCAAAAATTTCATATACTTGGTTCACCACCAGCTAGGAGTCGCACTTTATTTCGATAACCTCAGAACCGAGTCCCCGAGCTAGTTCAAGTCCTACATCCAAAGCCTCGTACTCGGCTTCATTGTTAGTCAATGGTACAATTCTAATGGCCTGCCTCAGGGTTTCCCCCGAAGGAGTGATTAAAACTACCCCAATACCGGACCCTTTAACGTTGAAAGATCCATCCGTAAACAAGGCCCAAACTCCCGATACCATTTTCAATACCAAAACTGCTTCTTTAGAAGCTAAAGGCATTAATCTCGAATTGAAATTGACCATGAAGTCGGCTAAAACTTGTGACTTGATTGTAGTCCTGGGCTTGTATTCAATATCAAATTCACTAACTTCGACTGCCCATCTAGCCAATCGACCCACCAACTCAAGATTATGATGGACATTCCTTAAGGGAAAAGTTGTCACAACGGCGATTTGGATGATATTAAAAATAAGGCCTAAGATTTCGAAAGGAAACTATGAGAGCTAAGGCCAGCTTTTCAAGGTACGGATATCATGTATCCGCTCCCAATAATATTTTACTAACTAATAAATGGGAAATTATGTACCTTCTTCTTCATGGACAGAAACAACGTTTATCGCTATTTCCGAGACTACCAAATAAATCAACAAATGATCACCTTATTCCATTTTTGATATTAATGGAGGGGTAGACAAGTACCTTTTTAGATCTTTCAGTGCATGCTAACATTCCAAAGTTAACACAAAGTCATTTTTCTTTTTAAAAAATGAAAAGAAATAACGACACTTTTTCGAAGACCTCGAGATGAACCTACTTAGAGACGCCAATTTGCCGGTCAATCTATGTACATCCTTCACACTTGTTAATAGATATATCCTCAATGTCTTTGATTTTGTCCATGTTTACATTGATTCCTCTTTGATAGACCAGAAACCGCAAGAACTTACCGGAACCAACTCCGAAGGCGCACATTTCCTGGTTGAGCTTCATATTGTACATTTTCAAAATGTCCAATGTCTCTTGGAGATGTTATAGACGATCTCCTGCATTAAGAGACTTAAATAACATGTCGTCAATATAACCTTCCATTGTTTTACCTATCTATTTTTCAAACATTTTATTGACAAGCCTCTAGTAAGTGACTCAGATATTTTTTAGCCCAAAAGGCATCACATTATAGCAATATGTGCCAAAATTTGTGATGAAAGAAGTCTTATATTGATCTTCTGGGTCCATCCTAATTTTATTATACCCGAAATAAGCATTAAGAAAAATCATCAACTCATGCCCGGCCGTAACATCAATCATTTAATCAATGTTTGGAAACGTGAAAGATACTTTAGGTCATGCCTTATTTAAATCTTTATAATCTAAACACATTATAAATTTGTTATTCTTTATAGGCGCTACTACTGCTTTATCTAGCCAGTCCGGGTAATTTACCTCTTGAATTGAACCTATGCTAAGTAATCGGGTTACCTCTTCCTTAACAAACCTGTTTCTGACCTCTGCTATCGGTTGTTTCTTTCGCCTTACAGGAGGTAAGCTAGGATCCAGACTTAGTTTGTGGACCACCACCTCCAATGGAATACATTTCATACTGAATGCGACCATGAAAAACAATCAACGTTAGTTTTAAGAAAATCCATAATTTTAACTTGAGTTAGGGACTCAACCCCGTTCCTAAATGGAAAAATTCTTCGATAAAGGGCACTTGTTCGAGCTCTTCTGCAATTGACTTGGTCGTCCGTCTCCTCCAGTACCTCAAAATACCTTGGTGCCTGATATAATTATGATGACTCCTCGTCTTTATCATCTTCAATTGAGATAGAAGAAGGCACTGGTTCATGTAATTGTTATTCGCTCGTTTCCCTGACCTTGCTACTGGAAACAGTCACTATATTTATCTCCCTTGCAACCGGTTGATCCCTCTGATATGCTTGATCCCTTCTAGTGTTGGAAATTCTAACAGCTGATGGTAGGTTGAGGGTACGACTTTCATTTCATGTATCCACGACCTTCCAAGGATTACATTGTAGCTCATGTCTCCATCTACCACTTCTAATAGGGTGGTCTTCATTACTCCTTCGGCATGTGTGTGCAGCAAAATTTCTCCTCGGGTTATGGCACTTGTTAAGTCAACCCGGCCAAAAGCCTTATTGTCGGAACAATATTTTTGGTCAGCTCTGCTTGTTCCAAAACTCTCCATTATATGATGTTGGATGATCTTCCTGGATCCACTAACACACATTTAATTTTAAAATATAAAACATTAAGAAAAATTACCAAAGAATCATTGTGTGGTACAAGAAGTCTATCAGCATCCTCTTCCATGAAGGTGATGTAATCTTCTGAGATCTCTCGAATTCTCTTTCCATGAGTCACCGATATCTTTGTTTTCTTTTTTACGGTGAACTTCACCCTATTTACTTCGTCTCCTCTAAAGATCATGTTGATTGTCAGACGAGGTGACCCTGCTGCCAGTTTTGATGGTTCTGTATTCTCCCAATTTCTCCCATAGTTGTTATTAGAGGGGTCGCTTAGAAACTCTCTGAGGTGACAATTCTTCAACAACATTGATACCTCTTCTCAAAGATGTCGATAGTCCCCAGTCCTGCGGTCGTGAGTTCCATGAAATTAACACCATAGATTAGGATCCCTTTGGCTAGGAGACGATCAAATTGGTTTTGGGAACCCAGCTTCTTTACTATTTATCATGGCTGGCACCAATTGTACCAGGATGATATTAAAATTATAATTGGATAACCTGGGATATGATGGATCCGGGACCCTAATGCCTCTTTCTCCTTCAACGATCAGCTATTCCGACCTCGACCCGCCTTTCCGTCAAAAGCGAACATATTTGATGACTGGAATCCTTTATTACCACACCCATCGGCCCTCTTGTAAGGCTAGAAATGACTTCTAGAGGACCTCCGAACTGTATCAAAATTATTTTTAAATTTATTTTGATTCCGATCACGATTCCGTCCTTTGGAAGATACCGAGGAGCGAAGTTGACCATCTTTTATTCTGATCTTTGACTCGTAGCAGTTGTTAAAATATGCCCATGTGGTTGCCTTATATTCGAGCAAGCTTTGCTTCAATTTTCGGGAGGCATCGGAGCACAACGAGTTGAGACCCTTTGAAATGCCTCCACTGCCCACTCATCCAAAACCGTTGGTAACAACATTCTTTCGTTCTAGAACCGGATCACGAACTCTAGTTACAACTTAGATTCTCCTTAGGATATTCTAAATATATCTGCCTTCCTTGCTTGGACCTTTCTTGTTCCATCATGAGCTTTGATAAACAAATCTGCAAGTATTTCAAAAGAATTAATAGAATGCTTGGGTAAGAGAAAATACAAAGGTAAGGCACCCTTCGTTAGGGTTTCGCCAAAGTTCTTCAATAAAACAAATTTGATCTCATGGTGGTCCGGGTTGTTTCCCTTTATTGCTGTAGTGTAAGTCGTGATGTGTTCCTGTGGATCCGAAGTCCCATCATATTTTAGTATATCCGACCCCTTTAACATCTGCGGCGCTCCCGGGATATGATCTATCCGAGCATGAAATTCCTTTACATTCTGATCCATCGTTCATTTATTTCTCTCATGAATCTCATAAGCTTAGTTTTGAAAGGTTCATTTAAGTTATTGTTCCCAGATCCACTACCGGTACCTTCTACCTCATCGAAACTGATTTTACCCTTGGAGTGTCATTATCAGCTCTTTGAACCATTTGATTTGCCAGAATGCTGGGAGGAATCAGAGCCCTTCTATTAGCATTATTGGAAGCACCCGATAACGCCCGCTTCAATTATGTCATCACCTGATCTTGACTTGAGAGGTGATGCATAATCGAGTTTTGTTTTTCTCTCAAGATTTTGACCGTTTCAACAACGTGTTCATCATCCGCATCATCAAGATTTGTGCCCCTCACATGTCGAGGATACTAATCTTCGTGAACTGGGGTTGCTTCATCTCCTTTGTTGTGGGTTTCACTAGTTGAATTATCACGCTGGAACACATCTTCCCGTTCATTGTGTGATCCAATATTGTAGACAATGTTAACATTATTAGCTGCCATATTTGATTTTTCTTTTACTAAGGAAGGAATCCAAATTTGTTAGTAACAGATAAATAGACCAAAGCAATTGCACAATTTTCTATGCCCCACGGCTGGCGCCAAACTATTTACCCGTAAAATGGTACAATCGAATTTATAGCATGATTTATTGACAAGCAAATCGATTTGACCTAAAATAATAAATTCTAAGAACAAAAATAAGATTATGAAATGCAATTAAGGGAAATACAAGCCTAGCTATGATCTTATCCTGCCCGGTGGCCCAAGTGTGAACAATATTTAAGAATATGTTATAAAAATAGAACAAAGCAATTGCACAATTTTTTATGCCCCACGGTGGGCGCCATACTATTTACTCGTAAAGCGGTATAGTTGAATTTATAGCATGATTTATAGACAAGCGACTTGATTTGACCCAAAATAATAAATAACTAAGAACAAAAATAAGATTATGAAATGCAATTAAAGGAAATACAAGCCTAGCTATGAACTTATCGGGAGACATTAAAAAATAGCCAGATTTACAAGTCGACATTAAAAAATAGCCACAGTTTCAAAAGTAATCAAAATTTAGCCACTTTTCATGTAAAGATAAATCTGAACGAAAACACTGTTCAAAATACGGGAAAATACTCCATCATAATATACTGGAGTTCCAGTATATTATACTGAATATACTGGAACTCCAGTCTAATATACTAGAGTTCCAGTATAATATACCGGTCCAACATAATATACTGGAGTTTGGAGCACCGTTGCTCCAGTCTCCAGTATATTATATTTGAGCCAACAAAGTATACCGGTCCAGCATAATATGCTGAAAGTTCATGCACAGGTGCACCGTACTCCAGTATATTATGCTGGACCGGTCTCCGTTGCAGCAAAATAGTGGCTATTTTTTATTGACTTGGCAAACGCTGACTATTTTTGAATGACCAGTCCGAAAACTGGCTAGACCGTGCTATTTTAACGAACTTATCATGCCCGGTGGCCCAAGTGTGAACAATATTTAAGAATAAAGATTAAGAATAATGTTATAAAATGAGAGCAGAATGTAGCTTTTGTGTACACTTTTTTTGTATATAATGAATGTTAATCGTCCTATTTATAACTCTATTCAAGATCCCTAAATCAAGCTCCTCTTGAATGAGAATAAAATCGTCATTGATGGCTGCATAATGGTTGGCTATAAAAGCAGATATTCTCTGTAACGGCTGCTCATTGAATGCTATCTGATGTCAATATTTTGAACCTTTGCTATCAGCTACTCTGTCTTCGAATTCATTCATTCAACACCAGTCACATGTTTGCATTCGGTGTCAATTGTTCACTGACTCATGTCCCATCTATCTTTAGTTCCACGTGTCACTTCATCGTTCGTCTAATTGTCTCTAACCAATTTTGCCCTGCACAATATCATAAACCACAACATAGAGTAGTATAAAGAAGCGAAACCTGGAATAGAGGTATTTGAAACTATCCCAAATGGAATTAACTTATTTTAGAGTGTCATGTCATTTACAAAATATAAAAATCCAGGTGAAATTTGTTTTATAGTTAACTTGGCCAAAGTTGAATAACTTTATGTGACAAAACATAGCAAGTGAGTTATCTAATTTTTTCTCAACCTTCAGTGAAAACTGTTAGCGAAAATCAAAACCGTTGGTTATATCGCTTCGTTTAGACTAGTCTTATGATATATTCTGGTCCCACAAATTTTTCATCGCGGTTGCTTTTTATAAAATATCTTGGCGTTGAAACCGCGTCGACGCGTGACAGGGTTATAAATGTAAATCAAGAAGGGCTAACGTGCCGACAGCCACTCCCTTTTCCCCTATAAAATGCTCACTCTTTCTCACTAATTTCCTCACCCCGATCACAAATCAGCTTAATCCATTTCTCATTCAAGTACCAAAAAATGGCAGGATTCATTAACAAGATAGGGGAGACACTCCACATTGGAGGCCACAAGGAAGGAGAGAAAGACAAACACCATGAGGCCGATAAACACAAGGAAGAAGAAAAGCACAAAAAGGAGCACGGCCATAGCAGCGGAGAGCACAAGGAAGGGATTGTTGAGAAGATAAAGGAAAAGATCCATGGAGAAGGTGGAGAACACCATCACAAGGAAGGAGAGGAGAAGAAGAAGAAAAAGGACAAGAAGGACAAAAAGGAGAAGAAGCACGATGGGCATGACAGCAGCAGCAGCGACAGCGATAGCGATTAGAGATCTAATCCTCCATCACTGAATAAAGTTCCTTCCTAATTAGCCTTTCTCCAATGTATTTCCTACTGCTTTCTGATATGGGTCTATCTTCTTTACCACTTATCAGTTGCTCCTATGTTTTAAATTCGGTGGAATTTAATTAACGTTTGAATCGTTTGTTGTATACCTTCTTTGATTTTCTTCAGGTAAAATTAATTATTCTAAAATATAGGATAAACGATAAAATTGTTTAACCAAAAAAATAGTTTTCAAGGTCAAAGCAATAATTTTATATGACGGGCCACAAGCAACCGATTCAGTCCGAAAGATATAAAATTTTGTTAATATAATGTGATAGAGAAGTGGGAAATAAATTCAATGACAGATAATATAATTAAAATAAAGCAGAGAAAAAAGAATTTTTATTGAGTGATCCTTGATAGGATAATGAGCCGAACAGAGCTTGAAGGGCCGAACTATGGCTAACTTGAGAGCAATATGCTATAAATTATAATGTATAAAATTGTAGAGAAGAAAATTAGATTCCCCCATGGTGGTAAAAATATGTCTATTTATAGGACTAAATCTAAGCAACCATTCTACTTGAGTTATGTGTCCATTATGAACATTTACTCAATTCATCCATTACTTTTGGAAGACTTGTAACAGCTGTGTAAATGCTGGAATTCCGTAACTGATGAGTTAATTTCGTAACTGATGAGTTAATTCCATAACTGATGAGTTAATTCCGTAACTGATGAGTCAATCCCGTGCATGTTGAGTCAATCCCGTGCCTGTTAAGTCAAATCTTGTGCCTGTTGAGTCAATCTCGTGCCTATTGAGTCAACCCCGTGCCTGTTGAGTCAATCTCGTACCTATTGAGTCAATTCCGTGCCTGTTGAGTCAATCTTGAATTGATTGCCTTGTTCTAACCGTTACAATCATTTATTGCATTTATTGATAATTGATTTGTAACTGATGGTAAATCCCATATAATCCAGGATTAGTTGATTCCTTCCTCATTTGTAATTATGAGATATTCTCCCGCACCTGATCTCGGCTATTTCATGATGATCAGTTCCGACGCTAACAAGCACGGTATGTTCGGTCCCGGGGGTGTTTCACATATCATCTTTACATGTCATTCTTCACTTTTCTTCAAACTTTGCTGACACGTGTCGCCATCTAATAGACCCACATGGCGAGTCTAATTTTTACTAATACAGATAGTCCCCCCACTTTCCGGTTACTCACTATGACGTGACCGGGAAGTGGAAGATTTTATCCTTTTCATCCTTGCCTCTACCTCATTAAAAACCTTGCCAGAAAAACCCAATAGGGACAAAAACTGGACGAAGGAAAAAAGAGTGCAGAACTTAGAGATTCAGATGATAACTCCACCGCTTATGTTCCTTTCGTCAATATCCGGTTGGTTTACCCATGACTTGTTTCAGGGTTTGTAAATCTTTGCCTTATGTTTGCAAAGTTTGATATATAAATTTCGGCTTTATTTTCTGCCTATTTTAATGTTTGGGTTTTTGTTTTACCCTTCAACTTTGCATTAAAAATACTTTAATGCTTCGTGACTTTTTTGAATAAGCACGAACTATAAAAGAGGGCCCTTTTATGAACGACACTTAATGAAGAAGACGTCTCAACTTCATAATGGTGTAAACATACGAAAGAAGAAATAGGAACACACACATTTTTTGGAATAACTTCGACAAGTTTTTATTTGAACTTTGTCAATTTCTACCTTACATGTATTTAAGTAACTTCTATAACTTTTTCGTAACTGTTTTTCTTACAACAGATTTCAAAAAAGAAAACAAAACACAAGGTTTTTATTTGTAACCTGTTTCAGTATATTGAATAATACACAAGGTCAAAACACACAAGGTTTTTATTTGTAACCTGTTTCACTTGAATAAGACACAATGTCAAAACACACATGGTTTTTATTTGTAACCTGTTTCACTTGAATAAGACACGAGGTCCTAACACAAGGTTTTTATTTGTAACCCGTTTCACTTGAATAAGACACAAGGTCAAAACACAAGGTTTTTATTACATTGCCTTTTAACCTAACTATGATAAGGTTTTTCTTTGGCTTTGGCTCGTAACTTTGCTCTTAACTTTCGATTTGTTGGGTAGACCTTAGGCTTGACTTAAATTTCGATTTTTCTAGTCTTCTTTGCCTTCCATATATATAGTCCCCCAAGTGTTAGAGCTTTGAAGTATGAAATCTCGAGCATTTGATTATTCCTTCCATGTGGTCCATTTCCTGAAAAGGAAAAACATACGGGACTCGGAGGTATATATTTTAGATGATGACTGCTTAACCCTTTTATTTCATCAGAAGGGTAGTAATCTAGATCGGAAATAATACAGTGTTCCTCGTATCTTTCGGGTCTAATATCATTATTTGGTTGTTTAGAGAATTTACCCGAGTACAAGTTTTTCTTGTCACTTTAGAAAATTATTTGAGTGCTCATTTTTAGTCTTTTAGACTTAAAATATATATTTGGATGCATCGTTACTTGTGCGATATCTAAAGTTGCACCTTTAGGTGTCTAACTTTTAAATAAAAGAGAGCTATTTTATATACTTTAAACGCTATGAATAGGATGTCTCCTTTTCATTCGGGCGTAAAATAAGATCGATTGATCCGAGTAGACTTTTAGTCTGAGGGATTATTAAACCCGGTAGGATTTACAAGAGTATTGACCCCATTAAAATTTACGGGAGTATTGATCGCGGTAAGACATTGAATTTGAGGGAGTATTGATCCTAAATAAATATATCTTAGTAGATTTGTCCTGAAGAGACATTTAATCTGATTGGATTTTGAATCTAAATTGGAGTATATGAACATACTTCCAAGTAGAGAGGGACATATGTCCGAAATAATATTTGAGATTTATGGGATAATCGATCCGAGTCATAATACAATTAGCCATTAAGAAAGGCTTATATATTTAGCTTGAATGGTCGTTGTTGGACCGAATATAAGTTGCGTGTTTGTTCAAAGTGAACTTTATTCTGGTGGCATATTTGCATACCTTTATCTTGACTTAGATAGCTGGTAAATAATGTCAAGTCAAATTAACTAATCTTCAAGTATAAGTAATCTTCCTAGCGTTTGAGTTTTGAGGTATGAGAACTCAAACACTGGAATCATAATTTGACAATCCGCAGTTTAATAGTCCCCAGTAGGATAGTTAGTTTCGATATTGATGGACTTTCAAATGGTCTAGTTCCAACATTTCGTACTCTAGTTAGGAACTACGGAGGTTCCAAAATGTTGTCGAGGATCATGCCATATCTTGATTTGAGCTATTAATACTGACTTCGATGAGTTTTTGATTTAAAGCCTTAATACCGAAGTAATTTTCACAGCTTTCTTTATAAATTTCTCGCATCATATATTTTGTTTGTTTGGTCCATATGGCATTTTAGCTTTTGGATCCTTGAATATTCTCAAATATAATTCTCCTTCAACAAGGCAGGTAGTACGGGATGAGACACACTCAGAGTTATCGAGAGCATGCTTATCTTTGGGTAAAGTCACATTCTGCAAGTAATAAATGAATTTATTATGCCAATTCCAAATTAAATAAGTCAGGCTTACCTCATTTTCATTCTAATTATGATATATCAGGGATCGCTTAAATAAGAGATGGCTCAATCCCGAGACTGTTTGATTCGGAAATAATATTTCTCAATAAGAGCCCGGAGTTGCCTTCGGAGTTAGTGATATCAGCAGTATATCCGAGACTAGCACATCCGGCTCTATTTTCTTGGGCTGCATAGTTTTCTTGGATTTGATCAATCGTTAAATCAATACTTTTGCTCTGAGTCCCCAAGCTAATTTAAGCCCTGTAGCATATGCTTCATACTCGGCTTTGTTGTTAGTAATAAAATAATTTTTATGAATTATCTAACTATTTTTTCTGATAGGCATTAAGCATTGTCCCTAACTCGGGAAGTTTAGTACTTGTGGACCTATTTGTGTAGAAGGTCCAGATCCCGAGAATTATCCCAGAAATAATATGTTCGGGTAATATGTTCGAGCTAAGATTAATCATGAAATCTGTTAAATTTGTGATTTTATAGCCGTACGTGGCTGATAAACAATATCTTATTCACTTAGTTCGAATACTCATTTAGCTAGCCTTCTTGACAGTTAATGTTTATGCAAAATATTGCGCAATGAAAATATAGTGACTATGGGAATTGAATGACATTGAAAATAAAGACTTAGATTTAGGGAAACTACAATTAATGCCAATTTATCGAAATGTAAATATGTAATTTCCGTATCTAAGAGCATTTTATAATAGATAGGAGAATGTGTACCTTTATCTTCTTGAATTAAAATTGCATTTACCGAGACATCCGAGACAATTTGGTGTAGCGGCAATCATCTTTCTCCTCGGAATTTTGAAAGTGATGATGCGTTGTTGTTAGATAGCGAGTTCGAATGATTCGACTTTTCGGACTAAACCGATCTTTCAGAGTTCTGTAACTTTATCTTTTATTAGTTGACTCTAGTTTCTTCTTTTGATTGACCGGATTATTCCACGGGTCAATATTGAGCATATAAACCTTTAACTCCGGTGGTACACCTGTTATGTTAGCATGGAAGCAAGCAAAGCAATTTTTTTTAACATGTAAAAATTACCTTTAAATTTGGTGTCGAGTCACGACCAACGTAAACCTTCCTATTTGGGAAGTCAATGATAATTTCTAGTTCTTCAGCATTTGATCTCGTGGCTTCTGATGCTTTCGGTTCAATGATTGCTTCGGAAAATATTTGTATAATTGTCCAAGGTTATTAATGAACCTTCCTTCCTCGTGGTCTATTCCATCCCGCAGCTATCTCCTCTTTTTCAGTTGTTAGGTGTGGTATCTTTGTAAGCAATTCCGTGGGTGTTTTACCCATGTTCCTCCTAATCTTCATTCTTCTCCTATGAAATTTTACAATTTAGCAAGGTAATTCCTTACCTGTTTGGATAGATCCGGATCTTTTCCAGCCCGTGAGGAAAATATCATATCTCTTTGCTCGGACCGTGTCTTCTTCTGTTTAAATGCTGGTGCTGCAACGGTTATGCATATCATTCTTGTAGGATAGATAGGAATTCCCAGAGGTGTTCTACCCGCTCGTTTTGTTCCTTGATCTGT